CCACTCACACTCCCCATACATACAGTACATTATACCCCCCAGGCCCAGGATATGCACCTACCCCCAGCAGAGGGCAGCTCACGCCCAAACCCAGGAGGTAGGCCCCTTCTGTCTGGGGTGGAGAAGAGCAGACAGCCAAGTCCCAGCCCGGGCTGCACCAGTCCGATCAACCAGCCCCCCGCCCCAGCCAGGCCACCCCCCGGACCACCTCCACATCCCGCCAGCGGCCAGGAGCCCACCTGTACTTTATACAACACTGGTTGTTGGCTATTATAGCATCACTCTGTTTGCATTCAGACATTCCCCTTTGACATCACTTCCTGTTACTTCACAGGCAAATATCTCAACAACTGTTCATCTCAGCGACATGAAATTTCTTCTGCATTATTTTATCAACGTCCACTTTCTAAAAATGCATTCAAATGTATTACAAAAAACTTGACGTAACAGGCACTTTAAACTATTTCTACAACATTAAGTTTTCCAAAGAGATTTGAGGGTTTTCAATTTTTGACCATTTTCCCAGTACACACAGCCTGGTGAGGACCCACTGTTCCTTATGGGGACAAAAGCTTGGTACCCATAAATACCATTGGTGGGTCAGGAGTTCGGTTTAGGACCAAGGTTTGAATTGAGTTTTGGGTCAGGTATGTACTGGTGTGGTTTGGTCTAGAGTAAGGTGTCAGGGTCAGGCTATAGAAGTGACCATTAAATGAATGGAAGTCAATGCAAAGACCCCATGAGGATAGAAGAACAGTGTGTGTTTGAGTGAAGTCTACTAATGGAAGCAAATAAATCACAAAATAAATCAACTGCATGACACCGACTGAACAGCCGGCGGGATCTGYAGACTAATCGGTGTGAAACTTGTGTCTTTGGAGGTTTTTCCCTCAGGGTTCAGTTTAACGTCAGACTCCACTGAAGCGGAGAAAAGTTCTCCTTTAATTTGCCACGAGTGGGCGGTTTATAACCCTAATATAATCCATAACTCCTTCAATATTAAAGCAGCCCGGATCGCGCAGATTCTCCATACCTCTATGGGAACTTTATGGAGGGTCGTAAAACGGGTACCACCCAAAACGACGCGCTGATGGAAGTGACGTAATGTTACGCCATGACGAATGGGAGGTATCAACGAAAAAAGATACGGCCTGAAGTTGTGAAGCCACCAACCACAAATTTATACATCTGTCAGTGTCAAAAATGACAATCTTTGCATTCAGCCAGAGAGTGTGTGTGTGCGAGTGTGTGTGTGTGCTGCTTTGCTAAGCCATTTCACAAGAGGCTCATAGCTGTCATAACTCATCTGAAGATGCTGGCAGCAGGGGGTGGGTGGGGTACTAACCACCGCAGTGCTGTGCTGGAGCCAGACATGACAGGAAGAACAACAAACTCCAGTTTTACAAAGACATCAGCGTGTCCTCATGCATGCCTCTGAATCCAGTTCACTTCCACTCGGGTCAAGAAGTTCTCAGATCAGTGTAAATAAATAAATAAATAAATAAAAAGGGAGTTAAGCCGCTTCTTCCAGACAAATGTCACAAATTACCACATTTTCCCAGCACATTCAGACACATAAAAGCACCCGTTTTTCATTAAAAAAAGAAAACATTTAAACAACAATAACAAAACAAAGACATTTTGTTCATTTGAAACAGCCYAAGCGTAAAAAAATTAATACTCTGTACAAATTTTCCAGCCCAGAATTGCAACATCAGCTCTGTAATAATCTAACAAAATCCAACATCAAGAGACGTTAAAGTGCCTGTGACGTCAMATTTTTTGTAATTCAGATGAATGCATTTTTAGAAAGTGGACGTTGATAAAATACTGCAAAAGAAATTTCACGTCGCTGAGATGAACGGTTGTTGAGATATTTGCCTGTGAAGGAACAGGAAGTGATGTCAAAGGGGAATGTCTGCATGTGAACAGAGCTTTGCTAACAGCTAATAACCCAGACTGTAGAGAAGAATMTGATGTTTCTTAAGATTATTTTSAGTCACTATCAGAGAGATGAAGTGTCAGAGTTCAAATAATATTGTTTCAATAAACAAAGATCAGAGAGTTTTCTTTGTTAAAGAGTTCCCWTTTGATGTCACTTCCTGTTTCACTTTGGCTGAGCCAAGTTCAAAAGAAAATTTGCCAGTTATGGGACAAAAATGGGTTAAATTGTGTGTATTGTTCCAACTTTTTTAAATATAAAGATGCTTTCTTTGACTTGTATTTGAAGAATATGCATGTCACAGGCACTTTAAAGCTGCTGTCACTGGCTCATTGTGATCCTCATGGTAACCACACACCTGCGTCTCTCACTCCCTGACTGCCAAGGGAGACAAAAGCAGACCGAAACAAACCAAACMACTGCTGCGCAAAAACTACAAGTCAGATTTGAATCACTCGTGCACTAAGAGCAGCAAACGTGTTTTCATGTTTTCTACCGTGTTTCATGTCAGACTTATAACGACTCAWTTCCAGTTTCAAAGAGAATATTTACATCTAAAACATACATGAAGTCCCTGGAATCGTTTGTACACTCTTTGCTGGGATTTTAGAGGTTAGATTCCTAAAAGAGTGAGTTAGTTTGACCAAAGTGTTGCAGTTGTTTGACATCATCAGTAGCCAGTGTTGTGGAAAGATCTGCAAAAATCTGTGAACTTAAACTGTAATTGTGTAAAAGATCAAAGCAGCAGTTCAGAGATGTAAACACCAACTTTCTGTGACTTGTTTAAACTTGGTCTGATGTCTCTACTGTCAAGTTTGTCTGAGCCACAGAGCTCCAAAGAAGGCTGGATTTTCTCATGTGTTTCTCCAAAATCCTCACTGACCACTTTTTTTTGACTACACTGTGTGACAAGATGCCAAAAACGAGTAGTCCATCAAAACAAAGTGAAATAATATCATATAAAACCCCAACTAATAATCAAATAATCCCTAAAAAGTAGTAATAAAAAAGAAAATATTTGTTTTACCCGAATGTTCTTCAGCTTGTGATCCGTGTTGAACCTCTCACATTCCTCCATCCCTCTCCGGAGGAAGGCGTTCACAAAACTGTCTCCTGAGGCAGGAAGAACCGATCAATCAGCACATGATCGATCAGGAATATATTCGATTATAATCTCTTCACAAAGATCTTAATCTGGCCTCACCTTCGGGGTTTTCTCTGCGCTTGCACGCTTTTTGGGGGGAAGTCGAGACGAGGATGAAAACAAGACTTTTAGTTTGTGTTTTTAAATAACTACACTTTGTTGTTGTTTTTTTTTTTTTTTTTGTACATTTCTTACCATGTTTGGACTGAAGTTTGCCCATTCCTCAGCTCCTCTTCTTCTTCAGTTGTGTAAAAAAAAGGTACTCCGAAATCCAGGGAGGATAAACCACTCTACATGATTRTGATGATGGTCACATCGTTTGCTCAGCAAGAAGAAAAAGTCCAACTATACCCTAAAGACGGCTCGTAAAACGCGTCYTCATTAAAGCGTCTTCCGGTATTTAATCGATTTGAGAAGTTAAATCTATTAAATGATCTACGAGACGGAGGCGGGTCACTCGCTGCCTCCAGACTTTACTACTAACTGACGTGAAGGGCTTTAACACAGCGATTAAAGAAGAGGACGAAGAAAAAAGGTGAAGTTACCGGAAGAATGTAATGCATTTCCGGTTAGTGACGTTTCAAAATAAGATTTCGAGTTTTTAAATGAAAAGGTGAAAGTCAGATGAGTATACAGGACAGCACTAACAAATGTTGGAAAACACCTTAAAGCATTAAGTATTAAGAAGCCTGCGCTAAACATTTTTTAAAACTATATATTGAGTAATAAATATTTTTATAGACCAGGGAAACTCAAACCTTTTGGGTCTGGGGACCCCTTACAAGGGCAACAAACAAACAAACAAACAAGCAAATAAATGAATAAATTCAGGGACCCCCTCATAAACCCCATACCGTTTCAAAAGATAATTTACTGTCATTTCAACCCCTATGCCATGGGAATATATATTTT